ATAAGGGGCAAACTTCTGACAGTACTCTCACAGGTCCTGAAATCATTCGAGAAACGACGGAGAAGATCGTTCAGATCCGTGAACGATTGAAAGCCTCCAGAGATCGACAGAAAAGCTATGCCGATAAACGTAGAAAACCGTTGGAATTCCAGGTGGGCGACCGCGTTTTATTGAAGGTCTCACCCTGGAAGGGCTTGATACGCTTCAGAAAGCGTGGAAAGCTAAATCCAAGATACATTGGGCCTTTTGAGATTCTCGCAAGAATCGGCCCAGTGGCTTACAAACTCAATCTACCGAACGAACTTCATAACGTACATTCTACCTTCCACGTTTCCAACTTGAAAAAGTGTCTGTCCAACGAGACTCTTGTAATCCCACTTGACGAGATCAAGATCAACGAGAGCCTCAACTTCGTGGAACAACCCGTAGAAGTCATGGACCGTGAAGTCAAGCAGACGAAGCAAAGTCGTATCCCGATTGTGAAGGTTCGCTGGAACGCCAAGCACGGACCGGAATTCACTTGGGAACGTGAGGATCAGATGAAACTAAAATATCCTCATCTTTTTACTTAGTTATTTGTAATAATCTAGTAACTTAAACTCAAATTTCGGGATGAAATTCCCTTAACAGGGGGATGATGTGACAACCCGAAAAACTTCTCGCATGGACTCTTCAATTCTCTCCAATATTAGACTTATTTTACTATATAGCAGTACCCTTTAGAGTCTAATGAAGCGTTCTAAATGTGGTATAATCAAGGTAGGAGTGTTAAAAGGGTTAACTCAAAGTGTAGGAATCAAAACCGGGCCAAACACTCCAACACATGGAGTGCGCGGCCACACACTTGAGTGTGCGGTCACACACTCCTGTTTGCGGCCTCACACCCTTCCCAACCGCACACTCCATATATATATATATATATATATATATATATATATATATATATATATATACCACACTTGAATCATTTTGAAAACTTCCTTCATTTCTTCAAGCATAGAACACGAAATCCTCTCAAGTATCATCCATTCTCCTTGAAGATCTTCATACAAAGGTACCAAAAACACCAAGAACACCAAGAATACCATCTGGCCGCACACATGGCAGCACACACCATCTGGCAGCACACATGGCCGTGCACATGTGATGGCAGCACACTAGGCCGCACACACACATATAGTGTGTATTTTGGGCGTACACCCTCTTATATAGCCTTATAAACCCTCATACAATCATATATGATTATAACACTTCATTATAAGTGTTTACTAGTCCCTATGATGGTCCCAAAATCATCAATTAGTTGTTCATAACACTAATTATATCCATACATGTGCCATACATGTGCCAATATATGCTAAATAGGCTTCGCGTGTGTAATCAAGTCACCACTTGACACCTAGCATCAAATCCAACTTTGTCATCAGAACCACCCACTACAGCTGAGTTTATACCCCTTTAATTAACCTTTGAAATAATTTTAAATTTTTTAAATACTTTTATGGGGGGGGGGGGGATACAAGTTGAATACTTACAGTTATTACATCAATCACATGTGATTAATAACTACAAAACCAATGATTTCATCACTGTTTCAAAATGTTTATCAAACTGTTTTACTTCAAAATGTTTTACAAACTCTTTTACTTATCAAATACTTTCATTTAAACTTTATTATACTTCTTATAAATTGAATGTTCATATATGCATAGATATATAAGAAATATTTAAAAGGCTTAGGAAGGCCATCCACCCTATTTCCTTTTCCTTGATTTGGATGTGGTCTGGTGGAATGTCGGGTAGCCGTCCGAGGGTCGTTTCAATATTAATTATATATCATAGGTGCATATATAGACATAAAAGTACTTCCATATTCATGCTTATCAGTTACATCATTAGTAAGTTACCATCGGGGTAACACAGGATTACAACTATACTATGAGTACATATACAACTATACTATGAGTACATATACAACTATACTAGAAGGAGTACATAAACAACTATACTAGAGCAAAACATATACAACTATACTAGAGCAGAACATATACAACTATACTAGAGAAGAACACATACAACTATATACTAGAGAGGAACATATACAACTATACTAGAGAAGAACACATACAACTATATACTAGAGAGGAACATATACAACTATACTAGGAAGAGAACATATACAACGATACTAGAACATGAACAATACATTACATATACATACATACACTTACATAAATGTGATCCATTGTATCAGAGCATGCCTTAAATGTCATGACCCGAGTTGTAACCAGAGTCTCTTGGAGGGAGAGGGTGAGTTTGCGTATAGATCTATACTGGATTGACTATCCTACACCTTGCTGCTAGCTACAGCCGGACCTGCAGGTCTGCGGGTGCCAAACGTCATATCATTTTACGACCTACATTTGTCGTTGTCTATCCAGTCGATAGTATGGTACAACTAATCACATGATACCTTAATAGAAATCCGGTTAAAGGTAGTCAGTACAGCAGTAGTCTTATAATACAATAGTACAGTACTACAATAATTTATCCTTTATATACATTTAGTGATTATTTCACTTAAACAATAATGTATAAACTATGTTTTGATAATGATAGTTACACTTGGAAAACTACACACGTTTACGATGAATAAACATACAAAACAGTTACGCCTTGGTAGAAGGCTACTTTTAATAGAAAATATAGGTTTTTCTGAGAGATTTCAAACCTTTACGAACACATACAAACATTCACATACTTTTATCACCAATGTTTACAAGCTATTATTTAAAACTATGTTCAAATGTTTTGATACAAACACCGACACTAAAATACTTATGAACTCACCAGCTTAATGCTGATAAACTCTTTCAAAATAACTTGTATTCTCAGGTCATCAGTAGACAGGTACCGAGACCAGCTTTTGAGAAGATGGAGCACATTCTGGACTCATCTCTTTATTTTGATTTACATTATTTTTGGTGTCTATAACTGTACAGAACACACTTGTATTAAAAACTATATATTTAATGCAATGGGTGATGTTGTTTGCTTGTTTACTATTACTGTGTTGTGGTACATTACATGACGACCTCTGCCCCAGAACGTTTCCGCCGTTCTCGGTTTTGGGGTGTGACAATTACCAACGAATTAGGGCACATTTTGAACCTTTTCCATGGATTTTTTGCTGTCATGGAGACTCGAATCCGACTCGGGAGCCCACAGTAGAACACAATTTGTTTTTTTGAGGTGGATGAGATGGAGGCTTGCGACATCTTCTTCAACTCTGTTTAATTAAGGACACAATAAATACAAGACCTTATGCTGTTAGGGGGTTATAGGCATGCCACCGGGCACATAACATGCCAACTAATCTAAATTGGAAGAAATCAGTAAAAAGAACGACATTTAAACGGTTATAACAACCATATTTATGTAATATGTAGAAAAAAAAAACATTAGAAACCTAATGTGGATAAATTTGAAACCTTATTACCCTACTAGGTCGTTAACCCAAATAATAAATATTTAACTACAAGCAAACCAAACAAGATTGTTCAGTTTTACAATGAGATGTGTATACCAACTTTAAAGGCTTACGACTCTTAGGGGGGCGTTTGTTTTTTCTCTGCAGATCTGCGCGAGGTCTTCTGTCTGCGCGGCGCAGACCACGGGCAGATTTATAGGTTTGAAGTGCGTTTGTTTTTCTGAAGTGTGCAGACATGAAAACGTCTGCGCGAGGTCTTCACCACACAGACTTGGGCCAACCTCTCCTAAGGTCTGCGAAGTGAATTTAACCTAAAAAAACACGCCTCCTTTTTGTTTCCGCCTCCATCGTCAAAATGTCCCACCCCAACCAAAATTCCTAGCCGACGAAACGCTCCATCTTCAATCCATCATCCACCATCACCGGCGATTAGCACCGCCAGTCGCCGCCATCCTCTCGAATCAAAGGCGTCCAGGCGAGCTCCGTTCCCAGCCATCAACAAACAGCCTCCGTTCCAAGCCATCAGCGAGCAACAACAGCCAACAGCAACAACGAATAGCAACAGCAACAACGAATGGCAACAGGTTTGTTTCCTGTCCTTTCTTTTTTCTTTTTTTTCTTTTTTTGCAATTCAACCATGCAATTAACGATCAGTCTTGCTGGAAAACTCTATAATGCACTAAAATTATTGTTTTTTGATATTGAAAATCTGAAATATTGAAGAAAATATAGATTTTCTTGCTTCAAATTGTTGCTGAAAATTCTAGTGCTTCAAATTGTTGTTAATTGGTGTTAAATGTTGTTGAAAATTGTTTCAATTTGTTGTTTAATGTTGCTGAAATTGCTGTTAAAATATGTTGAATGTGCTAAAAATTGTTTCAAGTTGTTGAAATAGGAGGTTGGAAATCTTTTTTTGTTGTTATAGGAGGCTAAAAATACTTATTATTGTTTCAAATTGTTGTTGAATGTGCTTAAAATTATTGTTGAATATGCTTAAATTGTTATTGAATTTGTAGAAAATTGTTGTTTGGTTTTGGAAATATGAAATAATGATGTTACTTGTTGATTGGTTATTGTTATTTGGTTTTGAAATACTATTATTATTAAAATTTTGGTGTTGAAAAATCATTTTATGTTTGTAAAATAATTTTATTTAAAATTCAGTTTATTTCAGCAGCCTGCAGACGTTAAAAAACAAACAGTCTTTGTTATTGCAGACTGCAGACATTTGATCCACCTCTTCTGCTGCAGAGACTTGCAGATGTGGTCTGCAGACTGCAGATGTTTTGGCTTCAGAAAAACAAACAACACCTTAGTTATTTTTAATCTATGCATTTGGTCTGATAAAATAACAGAAAAAACAAAATAAGGAGTATTTTAGTTATTTAAATTTGGTTGAACTCCTGATATTTAACATAAAAACTACTGTTGAAATAAAATACAAAGTTGCCTTAGAACTAGACATTTTACGAACTATAGTAATAACCATTTATCCAGTTTTGTCTTTATTTTGTAATAAAATATAATGTCATTTTCTCTCCTGTCGATTGAAAATTGAAAGATTTGTGTGTTTGTGAAACATAATTTGTTTTCACTTTTCACTTCTCATCAACTAGCCAACTACCACTTCTTCAGTACCATATTATCTTCAGTAGAGTAGAGCAGCTGAGTGGCTCAAAAAAATCTCAACTTTTTTTATTCTTTTCAGATTTAAGATTTTGAAACCTTAAACCCTCGAATTTTTTATTTGATAAATACCCATTTTATAATCTTGGAAAAGACAGTCACTAATCCCCATCCCCGATACTGGATTCTCGTTCAGGTTCTTCCTCTCAACTCTCTGTTTAATCTTGCACATCGACGAACAGATCTTGGTAGTTTTATTTTACAAGAGCGAACAAATTGGTTTCTTGATTGTGATGTTGGTTAACTGGTTTGTAGCTTTTGATTCAATGATGAAATTAAAAATTGGACCTTCAAAGTTGGAACTAGGGTTAGATATCCAGAATGTAGAAAAAAGAATCAGTAAGTTTAATTATATCCGAGAAAGATTCCATTCAATTTGGCATTCTTTAGAAATTCGACATTTTCCGTAGTTTGAGATTATTAGATCAACTTCAACTTAAATTCTTGATGCATTGGTTATAAACATAAAGAGGTTTTTGTGTTTGAATTGTGCGTTTAAACGAATTATTTCAATTTGAAGTCGTAATAAGTAGTTTTAAGTAATCGGCTAAACGAATTATGATTATGAGTCTTTCTTTGACTTTTTGATTATTTGATCAAGTAGAAATTGCGCCAAATCTTACTATTATGATAAATGTACAACAATTATCTAACCAATTATCCGATTCTCATTATTCAAGTCGCAACAATTCATTTTTCAGAGTCGATAAAAGTTGAATTTTGTTCACCAAATCCCTTATTACAAACATAGGCATATAAAAGTCGATTTTGAAAACACGTTTCCTAAAAATAAAAAATAACAGAACACACATTTTGTTTACATACAAGTTCAACAAATAAAACCAATTCATACATTCTTTGATCCTACAAACAGTTTAAGCTAAAAGGATGGGAGGGGCAATTAAGTCTTTTATCGAAAAGGCGTTGCCTTTTGCTGCCATGGTGATGGTAGAATGTGGGGAAGTTGGGATGATTACATTAGGAAAAGCAGCCATGAATGATGGACTAAGCAGTTTTGTGTATGTTGTTTACTATAATGCCCTTGGCTCCATTATTCTTCTTCCTGGTTTCATTCTCCACATCTGCAGGTTTGTGGTCTATAACCCTCATCATGTACTCCAAATCTTTCATATTCTTATATTCATATTTATGCTTCATTTGTTAATGGTAAGGGCATTTTTGTCTTTTGCCCAAAATGGGTCCTATCCTACCTTGTTCCAAAGTGGGTCCTACCTTCTTATATTCATATTTAAGCTGCATTTGTCAATGGTAAGGGCATTTTTGTCTTTTTCCCATCCTACCTTGTTCCAAAGTGGGTCCTACCTTCTTATATTCATATTTAAGTTGCATTTGTCAATGGTAAGGGTATTTTTGTCTTTTGCCCAAAATGGGTCCTATCCTACCTTGTTCCAAAGTGGGTCCTCCCTTCTTATATTCATATTTAGGTTGCATTTGTTAATGATGAGGGCATTCTTGTCTTTTGCACAAAGGTTGCATTTGTTAATGGTGAGGGCATTGTTGTCTTTTGCACTACCTTGTTCCAAAGTGGGTCCTATCTTCTTATATTCATACTTAGGCTGCATTTATTAATGGTGAGGGTATTCTTGTCTTTGCACAAAGTGGGTCCTATCATACCTTGTTCCATCTTTTTGAGTGGGACAAAAAAGTGCAGCTTTTTACTTTTTGTCTAATGCATATAAAAAACAGTACAATTTGTACTGTGTCTATTCTGTTATATCATGTCATATCATGTCCTACATAACATATTAACTTTGAATTTATTTTTTGTTTTTGAAGAAATAGTCGACCTCCTCTCACATTATCGATCCTTTGCAAACTATTTGGGCTTGGATTTTTAGGGTAATGATTGCATTTGGGAACCTTTTTGTATCTTGTTAATTAGGATTATTTTTATTTAATATTTATATTATATGTTATGGGTGCAGGATTTGTCTTCTTCAGGTATCTGCATATACGGGTATCAATTATAGTTCTCCAACTTTAGCAGCTGCATTAGGCAACTTGATTCCTGCCTTTACTTTCCTACTTGCAGTCATCTTTAGGTAAATTTTATTTTTATAAAATATAAATTTGGCTTTAAAAAAATATTTGAGAAAATGACAATAGATTTGAGGACATGAAAGGAAAAAATAAATTTGGGGAAATTTTTAATAAGGTAGGATGACTTTCTCTATTAAGTTGTTCGTTTTGCATTAAGTCAAAAAAGAAACACATGTATATATCTTGCTCGATTAAGTCGATTAAGTAAAAGGAAACGATACATAAGTAAATTATTATGCTATTTATGGAAAGTTAAACCGAATTTTAAATTTTAATATCATGTTTGAAGGAAACCTCGTATTTTACATGATATAAATTTAAAATGGAGTATGATAAAAAAATGGGAAATCTCCTATAAAGTCTCTACATTTTGACCTCATATTCAATTAAGTCCCTATATATATTTTTTCTGATTAAGTCCCAAATACCGGTTAAATTATTCAATTATGGACGATTTTTCAAAATAGCCGATATTCAGGACTTAATTGAATATGAGGTCAAAACGTAGGGGCTTTATAGGAAATTTCCGTAAAAAAATCAAGTAAATTAGTGAAAGATTCATAGAACTTGAGGTCAAAAGTAAGAAATTGGAATGTATATTCCTAATGTTGTAATAGGAAGAACTGAAAGTAGGACGCCATAATAAACAAATCAACTAAAATATATCGCTATATATATATATATATATATATATATATATATATATATATATATATATATATATATATATATCTAAATTCATATATTAACATTGTGAATGTGAAAAATATTTTTCGGATTCACCGTGTGAATCTGGATTCACGTTGTGAATTTTCGAAGACTCACATTGTGAATTTGACGTAAAAAAAAAAAATTCGAATTTTATATCATTGGAGATAGGATAAAAAGTTATGAATTTCTTTATTTTTAGTTTTTTTTTGATAAAAAATAAATAGTAAAAGTTGAAAAAAAAATTGGTTCCTTGGTTTCTTGGTTAATTATGGTTCTCTATTGAACCTCACCCTATATATATATATATATATATATATATATATATATATATATATATATATATATATATATATACACACAACGTTTTACGTATAGATTGGAAAAATTCAATGTAAACAAACCAACAAGCCGAGCAAAAGCATTAGGCACAATCGTGGCTATAACCGGAGCATTCGTAATGACATTTTATCAAGGTCCAACATTATTCAAGAAGATTATTAATCATAATAATTCAAATGAAAATTTACTTTCTTCACAAAAATCAAAATGGATACTCGGGGGTTTCCTTATTGCAATCACAAGCCTTTGTTCTTCATCATGGAATGTTTTTCAGGTAAACGTTTTATAAATTTCCGCTTGTTTTTTGGCTTATGTTAACGTTGCATCTTTAAAAAAATTATTTAATTTGTCATGTAGACGGCAACGGTGAAAGAATTCCCCGATGAAGTGACAGTCGTTTTCCTCTTTTGTTGCTTTGGGACAATTCAAACCGCGTTTTTTACCCTTATTTTGGAACGAAATACAGATGTTTGGATTCTTGATACGCGCACCGAGTTTATATCTATTGTTTTTGCGGTAAGTCTACAAGAGCTAAATGCAACAAATGGCAATGTACTTTTGTTTATTTATTATGTCAAATCAATAAAAAAAAAAGTTATATTTAAAAATATTCAAAAATGCATGTCTTTTTTTTTTTTGATAATAAACATTTAACCCCATCTCATGGAAATGTTTTATAAAACCTCCTCCTATAACTTTTAAAGCAAAGTCATATTTCGTATTGGTTTTATTTTTTTATAATGTAACTAAGAAGATTTAAAGCAATAAAAAATTTATAATTTTGATTTGCATGTTTAATAAATTAGCTTAATGAGTAAAAATAATAAACGTATATTAAAACAATATCTTTAAGGGGGATAAAGTGGAAAGGTTATTAGGATGAGGGGGTAGAAAGTAATATTACTACAATGGTAGTGAGTGGTTGAAGGAATACTAATAACTAATAAGTAATAAACAAGCTCCCATTTGAAATGCTATTATATAGCATCCTAATTTCATTTCTTTCTATTACAATAAGTTTCTTTTTGTTATTAAGACAATGGACTTTGAAAAATCTACCCGATTAAGTGAAAAACGAAACTTATAACTTACCATATTAAGTCATCTCCCTTTTAAATCCATTTAGTCAAACAGAAACAACACCTACATTTATTTTTCCCCATTAAGTCCTAACTTTTTACAAATTTGCCATTACTTATTTTTTCTCTTTGATTTCTCCAATTAAGCCATCAACTTTTTCAAATACTTCTTAAACCATTATTTCTCCATACAACATTTTGTAGGCTGTTTTTGGAGCTGCAATTCGTAGCAGTGTTATAACATGGTGTTTAAACAAAAAAAGGGCCTGTTTATGTCTCCATGTTCAAACCAATCTCAGTGGTAATTGCAGTGATCATGGGGATCATGTTTCTTGGTGATGTTCTTCATTTAGGAAGGTAAAATATGGTTGACCAATACTTTTGATATTGACTTATGGTGTGATTGTGAATTCTTGACCAAGATTTTTGATTTTGACTTTCTTACAGTGTGATTGGAGCAGTGATAATAGCTATAGGAGTTTATACGGTTTTATGGGGGCAATCGAAAGAACAAAAATTGGTGATAGATGATGAATCATTGACAGAAAACACCCCTCTCCTCCAGTCATAAGTAAAGATTTCTTTTTTGTGAAACTTAGCTTTGTTTATGTAACTAAAAGTTTGAAGTTTTATGTTAATCGAGTTAGTAAATAAAAGGATAGGTGTTTTGAGTAGGCAATGAATCTGTCAAATATCAAGATTTTGGCCTTGTTTTGTTCAAGGGATTTTACACATGATGGACTATTATACAAAAATGAAGACAACTTCGAAAAAGGTCCACATGGTTTTCAAAAGATCTTAGTTCTGCGATAACGTTGCAAAGTGTTACATTGGTGGTCCTTATGGTTTAATTTCATTTAAAAGATAGGCTTCGTGGCATTTAGCGAAAATGTAAATCGCAATAAGTTGTTGGAAACTTAGTTTTTGCTAACTTTCAAAAATGGATTTTCTCAAATTTTGAGCTTGAATTTCGGACTCTAAATATATTCAAAACGGACAAATGATGATATATTCGTGTTCTCCTTCGTGATACATTCGTTTTGATATATTACACAGTCCAAATGGATTAGAGATGAACGCTAAATTATTTGTCAAAGTAGGGTAGTTGGAAGAGACTACAAGGGCTTCTAACGCTCGTAACACTTATAAAATGAGAGCGTGATGTTGCGGGTATGAATGCACTACCAGTCGATTAAAAAGTTTAATAACAATTTTGCAATTATTTGTTTTGCAGTTAACAATTAATTATTTTTTGTACAGTTTTGGGTTATATTTTCCTAACATAAGTTTAGTTTGTTACTTTGAAGAAAACCATATGTATATAAGAAACATATAAGGAATTATGATAAAGAATTGACTAGGTGAAAGTATAATGTCTAAACATGTATTGGGCAAGGGAACCAAAGATAAAAATGTGAAAGATTAAGTTGTGACATCCAAATCCCCAAATGGTATAAATAAGTTATATTGCGTAAATTAGTCTCTTAATATATCGTTTTAGAATGTTGTATTTAAAGCTAATTGATACTTAATAAGCTAAATATTTGATAAATATAGATTAATTTGGCGCTAAAGTTATTAAGGAGAAGATTTGGATAGAGATGAAGTTGATATGGATTAAATTTAAACTAACAATAAAATACGGGTTTAGCGTCGCGATAAATGAGGCTTGTGCTGTGAAGAGGCTCAAAGATTCGAGGGGGCATGAAGATGAAAGCTTAGCGGACGACATTTATTTTTTATATATATACAAGATATTTCAATGCATTTGGTTAAATATATACTTGGAGGTTCTGTAACAAGGTGGGATGTGCTTAAATTGAAATTTTTAATACAATTCAATCCAATGGCAAGAACTGCAAAATTAACATTTTCCGACAACTAGATAATGAGACTTTGGTAATTGTTTTATTAAATCCGTTGCAGTTTTAATAATTCAACCATAGGAAATAAGGGGATTCGAAACCTAAACAAAAGTACAAACTATTGTCTTATTCAAGTTTATAGCACTGTTTGATTGTTTGAATCGATATATTTTAAAATAACATCCAACAATGATGCATAAAGATATTATTAAAGACATTTTTGAAAACACACAGTCCTTTAGATGTGGAAGGATTTGTAATTTATTATATTTACCATTTGTCATTATTATCGTCGGTAGATTAATTATTGTAAAGTGTTGGTAGGATGTAATGTGTAAAATGTGACATAAAGTAAGTCTCAGTAGGATGTAACATAAAGTCTAAGACCCTTAATAGTCTAGGGGTCTAAATTGTAAAATAGGTTTGTCGTATTGCAATCATACGATTGCAATTCTCAATTATGTAACCGGCTCATTAGAGCCTATAAATAGGGCATTTGCCCATATGAAATAAACAATATGTTTTTTAATGTTTAAGACTTGAGTTAATTCTCAATGTTCTTTATCTGTTGAAATAGTTTATCTATTTTTGAATAGCAGAGCCTTCTATCCAAATCCATCCATATAATTATCCAATATAATCCAAACAATCCATCATCAATTAAGAATATCATCAAAAGATCATGCTGACACATCCTCCGTTCAAATCCCCCCCCCCCCCCCCCACCCCCACACACATACACCCTCTTTACTTTCTTTTTTAAAGATAATTGAAATCAATCAAATCATAGGTGCTCTTGGAGATTTTGACACCCTTATTTAGCCTAACTATACTACCTCATAATTAGGTACACTGTCTGTTAGGGTGTTATTGTGTAGTTGAGATATTTAAGGCTTTATAAATTTAAAACATGATAAAATACATTTAAAAATGCGTAAGAAAGAAACGAAGAGATATAAACTTTTTAATGCTTATTAATATAGATGGAAAAAGTTTTGAATGAGAATCTGAAACATGTAAAACTATATTGCTACTTATATATATGATAAAAAGTTGGTAAATATAAAAGACAAGAAAGTTAGTGAAAGTGCATTAGCCTAATGCAAGAAATATGAAAGGAAGAATTCCTAAAGGGAAAAAGAATCGAGTATGTAATACTCAAAGATATACTACAACTATTGGAAATAATTGAGTTGTATTGTACAATAAATAATACCGATCCTCAAGATTGGTAAGAATCGTAAAATGATAATTGCAAGTATATGAGAGTACACCGACCTAATGTACTAACTATGGGCACAAAAGAACATATATAAGATCTTATTAACATTATACTTCATTAAAGCATGTCTTGAACACTTAGAAACCTTCATATAGGTTGTGTTTATGAAAACCATTCATGTTTATCTCCCAACCTACACATTAGGGTAGTGTACTTTTAGCAGAAACTTCAAACATTCATAACTCCCTCATACATACTCATTTTTATCTGCTTCTTTCTCTCACATGTTCTATATTTTCATGGATACATTAGAAGACCAATAATTAATCATTTTGATTCCATTTAGTCGTTATTTACAAATCCCCAATCCTCAGCTATTGCCTAATAGCTTATTAATATGAAATCATCAAATCTTTTTGAAACAACACAACTTTTCATTGTAGTATCTTACCAACATATCATAGAGTTATTATCATACAACCCACTATTCTGTAACATCCTAAAATTTCATTTTAAATAAGTCAAAACCCTTCGTACATTATTCCAAAAAGGCAATCATAATAAAAGTATTCTCAAAACATCAGAGTAAAATAAAAAAAAGTTAATGCAAAATAAATCTCCAGGGGAGATAGTGGGATCAAGTCGAGTCCTTTATTTTGAAACCAGAAGTACATATAAACATTTTAAATATAAATTGTAAGTTCACAACTTAGTGATTTCTGAAAAATACCCCATACCGTACGTACATAACAATCAAAACATAACTAGATCTATTTCATACCATTCGGGTCTTTCAACCGATATTGGATCTATTTCACCCCCTTCGGACTGTTTCAACAGGTACTGGGTCTATTTCACTCTTTCAACATACATGCATAACAGTAAGTGTCACAAAGACAACCATCATCTTGCAGACATAATTCAATGGTCTGGCATTGGTGCCTTCGACCCACAAGTACAGTGAATGAACTCAACTCACAGACAAAACCATAACTAACAGAATCCTCAGCTGAAGAGTGATGCTAACGCCTCCTATCGATACATACAAGGTAAACCCTTAGTCTACCTTCTAAACCTAAAAATTTGCTAAAAGTCTACCAAGTCGAAAGTCAACCCTCAAGGTCATCAGTCAAATCCATCATCAGCTCATCTCCATGCCATGGACAACCCATGGCCACGTTGTGGCTTACAAACAAAAACCTAATCCAAGCTTTAGACATCCTCTACGATGTGGCCACACCATCACCACATTGTGGCGTGCACCAGATAGATTGTGGTCGCTGTCTTTGGAATAGATTAACCAATAAGTCCTTAATCATTTGACCCACTCATCCAAACCATCCAGAAGCCATTCATACTCCTAAAAAAAAAAATCCTAAAAATCATTTATTTTTAGACATGCATGTCCTATGTGAGTCTTGGGCTTAAGTTAGGTCAAGAAATTAGAAAAGAGGTCAAAACTTGAAGCATGGAAACAAGACCTTACCAATTCATCGATCCAGAATATATGATGATCGTGGGACCAAAGTGAGCTATAAAGTTGCAAACTTTATCTCTTTCAACCATCCAAATCTTAACTATATACCAAAACATACCAAATAAATTAGATCTATAAGGTAAACATCATCAAGATGAAAACTTGAGAACTCACAAATGATCCAGAAGATGCACACAAGGAGTAGAGATGAGTAGCTTGCTTGATCTATTCATAAAAGCTCATTTTTCATCCTTCCAAGGCCACCAAAAACACACCAAATGAGTTAAGAGATTCAAAGAGGGCTAGGGTTTAGGTTTATAGGTGTTGGCAGCTGATAAGAGGTGAAACCCTAGTCATTACTTCCTTTAAATAGGGTGCAAGACCCGAAATTTAAGGTCTTAACCTCCAAACGACAGACATATTGTGGGAAAAAGAATTCCATGCCTTGGTGGCTTAAATGATGTCCGAGGCCAATTTTCCCTTGCTACGTCATGGTGGTTCCTCCACTACATCTTGGCAATCCCCCAAAACTCACAATTCAACAAATAAAAGATATATCAAGAATCCGGGTGTTACAACTCTCATCCACTTGAATGAGATTTCATCCTCGAAATCATTCCTCACAACTTACTCTACCACACTAGTCGACCTTGTCTGAACTTCCTGAATCCTAATTAGAACTGAGAAATTATCACACATAACGACTGACTTCTAACACTGCTACTAGAACCCAACCTTAGAAGAAATCATATCTTCTGACCAACGAACAAATGTTAGCACGCCACCTTTAACTATCAGATAGAAAGTCTCACTACCTTGCACAAAATATGAAAACCCTGAACCATGTCTAACTACTAGATAGATAGTACCATTCCAAACCATATCCATAATTACTCTTCTCAAAACTTGAACCGAAAAACTAATCTGATCCCGGGATTATCTCACTGGTAACTTGGAGAAACATAAACCTTGACTATTCACGAATGTCGAAAACCCTAGTTTAAATATAAAATTAAGCCTCAAACCATTTTTCAACCATTTAGTGCCAAACCAATGCCTGCATCCCTAAAAAAAGAATCCAAGAGACCAATCGGAACCCCATAATTACCAACAATTAACACAATAACATGAAAACACTCAATTGCAACAACTTCTCTTCTCTACCCAACTCATAACAAAACCAATCAAACAGGTAACTCTCAAAACCAAAAATACAAACCGGCTCCATCAATGTACTTCTCAAATCGGGAATCCATTAGTCCAAATTTAGAAACCATACCATACGACTAATGATCATCCATCCGTGAGACCTACTCCTAGTCCTTAACTAGGAATATCACTGAACCATACATAATGGATACTCAAAACATCCGAATTGTG